ATTCTATTCTATTCTATTCTATTCTATTCTATTCTATTCTATTCTATTCTATTCTATTCTATTCTATTTCGTTAAGCAGACAATCCACAATTTATCTCCCCTTTTTAAACAATTCCAACGTTATGGGATATTTCTCAGGAAGTGAAGCAGCTGAGGAATTCAAATGTTTCCCCTCAAGAAAAATGCCAAGTCTATTAAAACGCTTTGTTCTGCCAAGCAGAATGAAGCCAAGTTAGAAACAATTCCTTATTTGGCAAAACAGATTTATGGGGATCGGGAAGAGATTGCGGCAGAGCACAAAGACAACACAAAACACGCATGTTCTAGCGTTTCAGTGGAAATATCTCCCAAGTGCCTTAAATCGTTAAGTGTGTTTCATTCAAAGAAGCAGAAAAGGAGAAGAGGGGGATTAAATTATTAATTTACCAAGATCCAAAAAACCCAGCTCCTTTATTTGCAGATAATTCATCTCTTCCAAAGTGGCGGTATATGTTTTACTATAACCTGAAAAGAGAAAGATGTAAAGGGAAAAAAGAGAAAGATGTAATATAATTCTGAAAGTGATATGAATTAAAACAGGAACGTAAACAAGGGATCAAGGTTAGGTTTCCACCTGAATTTTACAAACCACAGCATCAACTTAAAATTAACCGTTAATTTTTTGTTGTTGTTGTTCTTTCACAGAAAGATTTAAATAAAATTAAATAAAAAAGAAGGATAGAGAAAACATTTCATAAGTAGGCCTGGTGTTCTTATGGTGGATTTTTAAATAGAGAGTAGGGTAGAAATTCAAACAGGAAACAGAATTCAAATAGAAGGTAGTTTGCGGGAGCAGTGTTCCCTTTAAAGGTTTTCTACTGTACCTGTTTCTTTAAACAGATATTGAAGTGCATACTTCAGAAATGCATTCTTAAAAGTTTGGGCAAAATGTCTTAGTGCTGCAAATTTACCAGTAAACAATTTCCACTGAACATTTATTTATGTATTTGTATCCTGCCTTTATTATTTTTTTTACAAATAACTCAAGGTGGCAAAATATATCCAACACAACTTCCTCCCCACAACAACACAACAACCACCTTGTTAGGTGGGTTGAGGCGAGAAAGAAAGACTGGCCCCAAGGTCACCCAACCGGCTTTCATGGCTAAGGCAGGTCTTGAACTCACAGCCTCCTGCTTTCTAGGTTGGCACCTTAACCAGTGGTAGATTGCAGCTGGTTCACACCGGCTAGCCCGTACCGGTAGTTCTGACCACTGGCTGGGCCCGCCCACTTGCCCCGGTGCTAACCCGTCTTATAAAACTGGCTTGCTCACCCGGCCCCTGCAGCCCAGCTGAGTTCCGCGCCTTGCCTGCTTGATTTACTGCGGATGCGGCATGCAGGAATCTGTTTTTGCAGCTGTGAACGAAGGGGGGGGCGCATGTGTGCACATTTTCAGTTTTGCACTGGTGAACCGGATGTTACAGAATATGCAGCCCACCTCTGACCTTAACCATTAGATCAAACTGCCTCTCATATTAATCATGAATCAGTATAACATCTGGATAATTTTGTAAGAGACAGTATAAACTTACCTTTATGTAGAAAAGCCACAGAGTAAGATACGTCCTTGGAATTCATACTAGCCAAACTATAACACAAACATAAACTTCCTAGGAAGAAAACACATATAGAGATAATCCTCAGCGTGCGACCACAATTTATGTTAAGTAAGACATCTGTTAAGTGAATGTTAAGCTTAGTTGCCATGATTTAACTGTTTTTAGATACTTTTGGCTTGGAGGATTGATGGAGGATTGCTTCCAAAGCTGTGAAGTCTGGCGAGGTGCAAGCTGTCTAACCACAGTGGCGCCATGGTTAGAGTGCAGTACTGCAGACTACTTCTGCTGACTGCCGGTTGCCTGCAATTTGGCAGTTCGAAACTCACCAGGCTCAAGGTTGACTCAGCCTTCCATCCTTCCCAGATTGGTAAGACAGGGACCCAAATTGTTGGAGGCAATTGGCTGACATTGTAAATCGCTTAGAGAGAAGCTGTAAAGCACTGTAAAGTGGTGTAGAAAGGCTAAGTGCTATTGCTGCTACTCCTTCCTTCCTTCCTTTCTTCCTTCCTTCCTTCCTTCCTCTTATTTTCTCCCTCATTCTCCCTCCTGGTGGCACAATGGTTAGAATACCGTATTGCAGGCTGACTCTGCCCAATGCCAGGAGTTTGATCCTGACCGGCTCAAGGTTGACTTAGCCTTCCATCCTTCCAAGATGGGTAAAATGAGGACCCAGATTGTTGGGGGCAATAGGCTGACTCTGTAAACCGCTTAGAGAGGGCTGACAACACTGTCCAACTATTTACAAAGTCTGCACTATTATTATATTAATATTCTCATCACTCCTTATCACCTATCCCCTCCCACTTGTGACTGTATGACTGTAACTTTGTCGCTTGTATCCTAACGATTTATATTAACTGTTTCCTAGTATGATTTGATTGCTTATTGTACCCTCTGATTATTATCAAGTGTTGTGCCTGATGATTCTTGATGAATGTATCTTTTCTTTTATGTACACTGAGAACATCTGCACCAAGACAAATTCCTTGTGTGTCCAATCACACTTGGCCAATAAAGAATTCTATTCTGTTCTGTTCCATTCCACGCGATATTTTTTATTCTATATTCTTTTCTAACCCTTATTCTTATGTTATTCTATTCTATTCTATTCTATTCTATTCTATTCTATTCTATTCT